CATACCTTTATTCTTCGCATTTCCAAGACTGGAAAGGTGGGCTCTCAAGGGATTTGAATAAGAGCACTAATTCACTTGATAAGGGCTCCACCCCATATCCTAGCCACCTCCCAAAAGCTCTACCTCCCAACATTACCACATTGAAGGGTAACATTTCATCACAAACATCCAGTCACTGTGACTTCTCTGGCTGTTGTTACAGGTCTATTATATTCTTTTCATTGATACTGAACTTGCCAATGTGACTTTCCATTTGAATGTAAGTGATATGCCATAACTGGATAGAAGCTTCCAATGGGTACATATTTTTTCCTTCTATAATAATGGCATATCTGGGTCTTCCCATTCACATTGGATCTGATGCCCAGGAGCCAGCTGGAGCAGAAACTGGCACCTCCCAACCCTTATGCACCTGTGGCTACAGACCACTTAGATCTGGGGGAGTGTCACTGTGTCACAGACTGGTGAAAGTTGACCAGTTGACCGGTAGTCCAGCAACTGGAAGTACTCAGTCCCTGTAAAGTCATACAAGAGTGCTTGGACTGTAACGAAGGCTCAGTGGTGACCATCAGGGCAAGCGTACTCTTACTTTGGACATAACTGTCTCATTTGCACCGGCTTGTCTTAACAGGAAAAGCTACATCTCTGGACTCGCTGAGGTAGTCCTTCCAGTGTGAGCCTCTGACTAGGAATAGGAAACACAAGTTCCATTTAAAATCTGCCCTTTGGCCGTGGTACGAGGCCTTGGTTTTGCTGGAGCTATTTCTCTATAGAAATTCCTTCCAGTTAAAAGAAGTTTCTGCATCTATAGGTAAGTAACTTCTGGAATCTTCCTTATAAGTGAGTGTCACCAACACCACTGGCAAAACTGGGCCATCAGGGGGCCCAACTTCTTGGTTCTTTTCTGCCTCCACAGGGCTTTGGTTAACCCTTACCTGTGGTCAGCTTTCTAGGTAATGGCATTTTTTATAGGGCCCAGAAAAATGACACTTTAAAATGATTTTATTTCCTCTAACTTAAGGTCACAAAGCTCTTGGACAGAGGGGGAAAAAAAGTCATTTCCTAGGAAAGGAGAAACAACAGAGCTTCATGGGGATGTGAAAGCCCCTTTGACTGACAGGTACGCCTCTGACTCAAGGGCTTAAAATAAAAAGCGGGTACCAACTGAAGAGAGCGTGCAAGGTGGCTGCAGTACTGTGAGCTCGGGCCGAGAACCAGAACCCCAGCTGGCTTCCAGCTGGGTGATGACCTTGCCATTCATTTTCCTGGGTTTGGATTTCCCCATGTGTAACAATAAAGGCTTGCAAAGTCCCATTGAGTGCTCACTAATGTCCGATCACTATGATTCCATCAAAGCTAACTGGCAAGGCTGTTTATTGCAGGCTTTAAATGGCAGGTCTCTTAATTTGTAGACTAGGGAGGGATACCTTAAGGGAGGGAAATGTCTACTGTGGAAGCCGGGTTCACACAAATCTTCTGAATTGCTAAAATGTTTTGATCCTAGAGGAAGAATAAAAGAGCCTGATTTATGATCATGTAACAAACAGACCATATTCATACAGCCACAACAGCTGGGCAAATGTTCTTTCCTGCCTGCTCTGGAAGCTCTAGCTCTCTGGAAGTTCTAGGATCTGATGAAGGACCCAAGCTCTGACATAGTCCTCCCAGCCAGCAGAAGTCTGTCCAGGGTGTGGTACCCATCCTCAGCATCTCAGCTAGGGACATATCAAGCACCAAAGCTGGTCCATGGATTGGTGTAGTACTAGTTTCAGGACCTAGGCCCACATGCCATCTCCCGGGTTGGCAGGTGGCTGCTGTTCTGACGTCCTTGGCCACAGCAGAGGTGACAGATCTTCTATCCTGCCTTTCCTTGGATTCCCACAGCCACTCTCACTGATAACCAGACTTGGTTCCAAGATATGTGCTCATATATACAACCTAAGCATGAAAGTGTGCTCTAAGACACGCATGGGACATGTTTCCCCATCTTCAAAAACATCGTTCTTCCTACACAGACTATATGATTACAAAAGCGATTGGAGACCCACCCTCAGCCTCAGGAGTCAGGAGGGCATGTCAGAGCACAGAACCCCGATGAGCTCCGTTGCTTGTGAGCCTCTATGGAGGACACAGCAGATGGAAAGTCTCTAGCTGCTGGTGTTCTTCAAACTCTGCTCCTCTTTCTGCCACTCTTCAGAGGGTACTGGAAGCTTATGGCTGGCCGCAATGTGTGTGCGTGCGAGCATGCGCTCGTGTGATTGTGTGCGCATGCGCGTGCGTGCGTGCGTGCGTGCGTGCGTGCGTGCGTGCGTGTGTGTGTGTGTGTGTGTGTGTGTGTGTGTGTGTGTGTTCAATATTTGGTCCACACCTGCCTAAAGAGGACTTTTGCTTCTGTGACTCCTTTCAGATGGCCAACATTTTCTCAGTACCTTTTCACCAGAAGCGGTTTCTACCTAGCCCTGCCTCTCTCTTTTCACTAGAGAGGTCTGTGTATCAGCACTGGGTCAAGCAGGGACCCCCGTGCCTGTGGAGCTGAAGGGAGCGGGCTCCGTTAACTGCGCCCTTGCATGCTGCCTGGCATACCGTTCTTTCTTGCTTCTCTTACAACCCTTTTCCACCCATCTAGAGTGAGCAAGATTCCCTTCTCTTAGCGGACTCCCTCACTGGGGTGAGCTTGAAGTCAGTCGGCTTTCTTGCCACGCTGACCTTCCTCCACATGAAGGCGTGGGGCCAGTTTTCACTTCCAAAAAAAAAAAAAATTCCTCTAAAAGTGGGACTCTGGAGACTCTCCAGTAAATGAAGATAGACTGGGTGAAGAAATTCCAACCCTACAAGCAGATAATTAAGAGAGATTTTCCCAGCCTAGGGGGAAATCAAAGACCATTATGTATGTATGGTTTGCGCTAAACCACTTTTATTACAAATTGAGCCCCCATACAGCTGTGCGGCCAGGGAGTGGGGAGAACTCACAGCCAATGAAACAATTAAAAGCCATGTGGAAGCAGGCCTTCTGACGGCTCACAGGAGCCATGCATTCTGTTTTCTATCTTGTTGTGAGTGATTTCAAAACCCCAAATAAGTAATTCTATCGCAGTACTAAGAAGGAAATGGTGAACAGCTAAGGATAATAATTCAAAATTCCCCCCACCCTCCCTAATCTACTCAGTTCTTCTCTCTCAACAAAGATGTGGAAAGAGGGATCTGATTTGCGGGAAGCCACCTGAAGTCTGGGGAAGTTTAGAGGGGAAATCTAGAAGCAGGCAGGCTTAGAAATGCAACTCAGTTCTGCCACCCAAGAGCGGTGTGGTCCTGGGCAAGTTCAGTCTCTCGGAGCTCGCCTTTCCATGCCTGATGGAGCTATGGCGATCAGCGCAGGGGACAGGATGAGAAAAGTGCCGGCCCAGCCTAGACAGTCACTGGGTGATGCCTGTGTCCTCTGGAAGGAAATTACCCAGAAACTCGCTTTTCCTGTGTTTTCCCTCATAACTGCTAGAGAGAATTATGGTATCAAAAGGTTCTGTCACGATCAAAGACCGCAAATCAAATGCTTTGCTAGGCCTTCATTTTGTGATTTGAGTGGAGGAAAAAGAAAGCAAGTGGGAAGAGCCTTGTCCTATCTAAAGAAAGCAACCAGTGCGAGGGTTGAGGACCTAAATTAAATCAGCAGGCTAGAAGACCTAAATTAAATCAGCAGAACCTATGCTTAAAAAGGCACCGGGGTGCCTTGTGTATGGGCTTTCAATCTCAGTGCTGGGCAAGAGGAAGGAGGAGGGTCCATGGGGCTTGCCGATTAGACACTCTGAACTACTTGATCAGTCCCAGTTCAAAACCAGGGTTGATCTGAAGAAAAGATCAGTGGTTACGTACTTTTTCTATGCAGTTTTAGGGCCTGGACTTCAGACCCCAGCATGTACATAACACACATACCTGTAATATGCCAGCTCCAGTGAACGTGGGGACAGAGGGCATCCTGGCTTCCTACCTACATGGGAAAATCGAGCCCCAAGTTAAGGGAAAGATCCTTCATCAAAGGATCAGGATGAGAGTTGTAGAGGGCGACACTTGTCACTCTTTTCTGGCCTCCACACGAATACAAACAAGGACATCTTACAAAGCAACAAAAAGCAAGGTGAACAGCTCTTGAAGAACACCACTGAAGGTGTATCTTCACACACACACACACACACACACACACACACACACACACACAGATATACATGCATGCACACATGAGAGATACTCATGCACTCCCCCATGTGTGTACACATACAAAAACAAAGAGCCATGACAAGTGTCGTGGGTGGATATTCATTCTGTCAATAACTTTGGAGGACCAGCCTTAGGGTGTGGCCTCTTGGCAGGTTACCTGACCGCTTTAAATCTGAGGAGGGGGCACCCGGTCATTCTCTTGGGGTGATAGGAGACTAGATGGCTGGATCCATATGCTCCCGGGCAGAATGGAGGACAATGATGGCTATTTACTTGGTTCTGTATCCGTGAGTGAATTTTTCCCCATTTCATATCTTAATAAATCCTTGATACGCCTTAGACAGACTCTCGTGGGTTTTGCATAACAAGTGATGCCCAACGTAGGGCACAAACCCACGTGCCTCAGATTAGGAGTCTCATGCTCTGCCGACTGAGCTAGCAGGGTTAGCTCATATAAATCAGAATTCCTATCTAATTTAAGAGGGTCTACATTCCTTCTAAAGGTAATGGTGAGTTTGAGCCTTATGGGTATAGTGCGCACCCAGTATTAGCTGGAAATTTCATATAAAATGGCTCTTAATATAGTTAATAAGTCCACAGAGCTTAAAAGCACATCTATAGTTTGGTTATATAGCCCAAGGGCTGCAGTGTAACTTCTAGAAGGTGAGCATTCTATGATTACTCTTCTGTATAGTAAAATGTTGGGTTTGAATGCAATTCTTCAGACAATTCCATTCAGTGCAAATAAACTAACGTACTAAATATCCCTTCCTGCATATTTCTGTTTCCAGGAGGTGAAGAGTCAAAAATAACCTTGATGAGCTGTGGTGGAGTTTGCTGTTATTTATTCCTGGGAGTCAGCTGACTGCTCCTGAGCATGTATAGGTAAGGAATTCAGCTGTGCTGACTGAGATAGTTTCAAGGTGTGCACCTACCAAGTACTGTGCTTCCAATACTTGCCTGCAAAATACAATGCCTCCAACATTTGTCTACAAAATACAGTGCTCCCCAACACTTTTCAGGACATCACCAAGAAGTGAGGCTATTAACCAGAGGTATGGACATTAGTCTACAAAATTGTTGTCTTCAAATCTTAAAACAAAGAGCTAAGAAGAAATCACTTTGTTTTTCAGAGGCTCCAGCTGAGCTTCCCAGTTACAAAGAATGCTCCCGAGAAGGGATGCTTGGGAACCATCGGAGGCTGAAAGCATTGAGCTGCCAGGCTTTTAATTAACTTGCTCCAATCCATTTCTGAGCCAACCACAGAGGGAAAAAGAGAAATCTTATTTCAATATCAAAAGTCAAATAAAATGTTAAATTTCATTTTTGATTGACAGCCTCCCACACAGTCACATACCCTAAAACTAGCAACTATAAATTCAGACCATTTGTAAAGCCCAAGGGGTTTCCAGAGTATGAGACAATCCAGGTATCTGTGCCTCATTCCACAGAAGCCGTCTCCTGTGGAGAAAATGTACTGGTGACATCCATCTTGATGGGAAATAGGTATGTTAGGATAGGAGGTGCCTCAGGTACAGCAGGATTATGACAGCAGGAACACGGAGTTCTCCTGACGATACATATGGGTTTGTTCAGAAGCGGCTGAAGGAAGCCAAGTTATTGATATCATTTCCCACCACATCAATGTGTCCTGCAGTCATGCCTCCATCAAAGAGTTGTGCAATACATAACTGTCCACACAGTAGTGTGCAAGTATCGGACCTGAGGTCAGACCCACTAGATGGACTAGCAACCTTGGTGACACACTGCTCAAGTTACTCAGGTAGTCTTCTTATTTTTCTAAGCTTCCAGGGCTAAAGAATGCAGGAATTCCATAAAGAAAATGAGCCTTAAAAGATGTCCACATTCCTATCTACCCTAAACACCATAGAATTTCTTTCCCTCTCTACTAAGCATGCTATGTCAGGAAGCACCAATAGGATCTATAGAAAGGGACGAACATTATTCTACCAAAATGATGTTTCAGGGACCTGCAATAAAAGAAATCTCTCCTATTACCAGGAAAAGTCATACAATGGAAATTATAAAACGTAGCGCCTGAGACATGCACAGCCATGGGTGTTCTGGTGAAGTACACTGAGGTCTCTGAGAAGCCTGAGACGTGCACAGCCATGGGTATTCTGGTGAGGTACACTGAGGTCTCTGAGAAGCCTGAGACGTGCACAGCCATGGGTGTTCTGGTAAAGTACACTGAGGTCTCTGAGAAGCCTGAGACGTGCACAGCCATGGGTGTTCTGGTAAAGTACACTGAGGTCTCTGAGAAGCACACACCAAAACAAAGCTGCCCTTCTGGGAAGCAAACCATCAAACGGAATTTTTATTTGAAAAGCTCGTCTCCAGTTACTTTCCTTATTTCCCACTTTCTTCCTTTCTCATGACCCCACAACGACTCCCTATCTCAAACATGACAGTGACCCGGATGGTAAATGAATATATTGTATCTTGGGGATCTACTCACTTTAAAGGTAAATATATTTCAATCACAGCCCTGAGAATGCCTTCGTTTGAGAAAGCTATTCAAATTTAAGGATGCATAAACCAGTACAAAAGATGACCTTTTGTAAACCACCCATGTCCCCTGGGATTATTGTGTTCCCAGGGTATTTCATCATCTCCATGGGGTCAATGGCACAGTTGGCTTGAATGACAGAACTCCAAGGCATACAGCTAGTCCAGTGTGGGTATTTAGTGATGCTGAAGTGGTGGCTTCCCTTGAAAATAGCACCTCACAATGGAATCCCCAGTGGCATTCATTCATTCATTCATTCATTCATTCACTTTGTTATTTTTCACTTTATTTAAAAGGGCACTAAAGACACTAGTCTGCAAGGTTATAGAGGTCTGCTAGGCTATTTGTGTAGAAGACAGGACATAAACTTTAATTGAGATAATGGTAATATTTCAATGCAGATTACTGCTTTCTGTTCAAATTCCTGCTGTCATTCCAATTAGAATCAATGGTCTTCTTTCTTACCAATTCCCTCCAATGTGTAGGTTGCTGCTACCTGCTAGGAATGTATTAGATTTTCTTAATAAAGATAGATCTGTCACAGCAGTGAGCTAAGTGGTACAGCGAACAGTTAATTCTTCCTTCATTAAGCCAAACCACATAATTCCCTTTAACTGAAGAAACACATCCTGCTTCCCAGTAAATATTTGGTATTGAAGCAGCAATGAGAACACAAACCTTACTGCTCTTTAGGGGGTCCTGGGGGCATCTCTGCTGGTACCCCACTGAGAATGATCAACATTCAAAATAAAATACCGGTGTAGGGGACTAAGTAAAATAAGCTTTGTAAAACTGACTCCCAGAGTTTGTGGTTTTAAAATGTGTGCACCTACTCTCTCATTTAGTCTTGAAAACATTGTCATCCTTTAAGGGTCTCCCAGCCTTACGATGAGTTAGAAAGTTCTACTGGATGACCTCTGCAAATCATCGTGTAGGAAGAGCTTGGGCCTTTCCAACTAATAGCACATCATACATATAAATCATTATCACTTCGGGGTTTATTCGCAAAGGACAGATATTTGTAATCCTAGAAGTGTGTATGTGCCCGTGGCTACTGATTAACTGTTTCAAATTAATAGCTTAAAATTAAAGCAAGCCTGGGGTTAAAATAAAGGGAAATGGTTTTCTCCGTGAGAAGAGCCTCAGCGCTTGAAGACAGCCCCTTGCCATTTTCCCTTCCTCTTATTATCCAGCCCCCAGAGTGCCGTCTCCAGGGCTTCCTGATGCCTTGCTATGTGAGTTTCCAGACTGCACAGGCAAGGGAAGCAGCGGGCAGAGCTAGGCACAGGGATGTTTTTCTAAAATTCGTTCTTCAAATGTTTCACTGAAAGAGCTTGAACGTTTCCTGGGGACGTCACCCCGCTGTGGGACAGAATGACTGTCTCGTTGGTCTTTCATATATGTGTTAATACAATTTCCCTTCCACCTAGCACACCTGCTGCACTATACAAGTGCCTTCCATCATGGAGCATCACTCAAGAGGGAAAACGGTCAGCAGAGAATAAAAGACGAAACAAACGAGTGGGACCATAGCAACAGGAAGAGCAGATAACACTGAGCTGGGAATCCAAACTGGATTTTAACAACAACAACAAAAATGTTCAACGCTTCTTGCTATGGTTTGCTCCCTTGAAGCTTTTGTTGAAATTTGATTGGCAGTTTGGGGGGTGGGGGTGGGGGACTTTAAGTGGTGATTAGGATTCCAAGAGGAATGAAAACCTATCTTGGATCAGGTTGTAGTAGGGCAAGGTTACCCCATATGTTCTGACAGCCCCACCCCCATCCACCCAATTGCCCTTCTGCTTCTGGCCATGAGGTGAGGCAACCGGAGGCCTTTGCTAGGAGCCCACTCTCAGGGGCCACCGGCTTAGCACTAATGAAATCATGGCAGTCCCTCCCCTTATGACCTCACGTAATGTTAATTACCTTTCGTGAACCCACTTCCCAACACCTTTAACATGGTAAGCCGGCATTTGCCCGGCTTCTTGCCTGCTCCCATAGGGAGCTTCATCATATCAATAGGCCTCATGGCAGCGCTCACTGAACGCCACGCCACAACCTGAGGTGTCCCAAACCCCAGAACTGTGAGTTAAATAAGCTTCTTTATGTCCCCCACACCCACTCCCAGCTGTCTCCTTCTAGCTGTGAAATGGACGAGGGCACTGCTCTTACTATTTTGTCTCTGGTATACCAGGCTTAGGTTTTGTTTGGGAAGTGTTAGAAATTAAACTCGAGAGTCTACTGCAGTTAGCCTTCTAAAGTTAAATAAGACAGAAAAGAAAAAGAACATGTATTTTTAAAAGATCTGATTTTTTTTTGCAATAAAAACCTTATCTGACAACTCTTGCTACCCTGACACCTGATATATACATCAGGATTTCTTTGTAAATCAACTATGATGTAAATCAACTGTAACAGTGCCACAGTCACTACACTTGCTGTGCAGGCCCGAGGGCCTTACTTTAAGCTCTAGTACTCATGAACAAAAGTTGGGCCTGGTGGCACAGACTTGGAGTCCTAGGCCCAAGCAGGCAGAGGCAGGAGGATTCCTAAGGCTTGCTAGTCGGCCAGTCTAGCTGAACCAGTGAATTCAAGGTTCCCTAGGAGACTCTGCGGGCCGACTTTACATAACAAAACGTAAATACCCACCAGAGCAGCTATTCTGTATCCCTTCTCTTCCTTTCAATTTAAAGTTCTTCCTTGAGATTCAGTTCAAATGTATTTGCTGTGGTTTAAATCTGTTTCTACAAAACTCAGGTACTACCACACAGAGGTCTTTCAAAGATGATTGGTCCATCTGTGATCCCCCTCACAAATGAGATTACTTTCCATAATAGAAGGGTTTGATGGAGCAGGCTTATCCCTGTTTGCCCTTCTGCCTTCCACCATGGGAGAATGAGGCAGCATTCAAGGTAGCATCTTGAGATATCGAGCATCTCTCCCCCAGCTAAGGTGCCTGCCAGCATCTTGATAGCTGACTTCTCAGCGCCCAGGGCCATGAGAAAGAAATTTCCATTCTAAATAAATTCTCCAGCCTATGATGTTTCATCATAGTGGACCAAATGGACCAACACAATATCCTCAACTCCTGTTCATTCCTGCCTGCTCTGTGGGAGGCACTATGAGAAGTGATTAAAAAACAAAAAACAAAACAAAACAGAAACCTAGAAAACACAAAGTATTTCTTAGAACATTACTTTTGAGGTAACAAGATACTTCAATAAAATGCAACTGGGAAATAATTAGGACACTATAGTATAAACAGCAGGTGATAAGAAAGATTTATGGCACAGAAAAGGGGTTTATTTTGGCTTTCTTGATATGTAGACTTCTAACTCGAACAAGTAAAACAAAGCACTTTGAAAACAAACAAATCAGGGCACTTAATTAATGAGGCTCAAGGTTTGAATGTTGAACTGAAGACACTGACCTACTGAGATAAAGAACTTGTTTGTTAAAAATGGCTTAGTAAATTAAATATTTGGGAAACAGTTGATAAAGAGCTTTGGCTATTTTTCTAATTAGCAGTCTGACATATGAGCTCTTCAGAAAGACAGTGAAAGCAGAATTTTGGAGAAGCTTTTGCTATGGAGGATGGACTGGGTGACACTAGTGGATCCGAGCCAGTGGTTAGAAGGAGTTGTGCTTGTCCCCTCCTCTGGGTCTTGTTCAAAGCCCTAGGCTCATCTACAATATACAGCTTGATCCAACCATTTACATGGAGATTTGAGCCATACTCACTAAAGTCAAGAGAGACTATCCGGAGTCAGTTAAACTAATTCAATAATTTAGAAAGTTAGATGTGATTATTAAAAGGGACAGTGTGTTGCACATGTGTCCTGTTCTATTAATAGCAACACTTAGTCTGTAACATTAGGCTAGAATAAGCCGGCTTATTGGTCCTTCATCAACTCATCAAGTGGTTACTGAAGCATGCTTCAGTATTAGGTGGGAGGCTGGAAGGAGCGAAACAGTGCAGTGATGCTCAGGCCACAGAGGGCTTAGTGATGCTGGAGATGGAAGCAGCAGGCATCAGGAGGTGTGCAAGGCAGGAAGACAGACTCTGGACACAGTGCTATGTGTTTTCTAGGAAGGAATGTGGATCTGTTTCTTCCTACAATCACAAGCCACTGAAGTGTTTTCATAAATTTTAAAAAAAAAAACTCAACTTTTAAACATCTTATTGTTTAATTCAGTGAAGCATTGGTAAATGCTTAGTACCGTGTCTAGTACAGAATGCATGTCTTTTTGTGAACAGTGCAGCAGAATGCTGTTTGGGGTATGAAGGTGAGCCACGGCCTGAAGCATAAGATTATTCATAGGCGTTATTTGCACAGACAAAGAAGTTGGGGTTATTGTTTTTTTAAACCCAGGAGCAGATGAAACATTAAATGGACAGAGAGAATGAGATAGAATAAAGTCAATATGGGAACGGCCAGGAAAGTGAGTAGACTTGTCCACCAGGGAAGGCTCAGATTAAGGATTAAGGATTTGTGATAGCTAGCACATTTACAAATTGAAAACTGAAACAACCTGACAAATAGACACAGGAAGCCCCGTTCCCACCCCTGACCACATCTGCCCGGGACGCCCTCCACAGCCCTCCTTGATAACCATATTATCAATCATTGTTGTACTCTTTCCATTTTTGGTTTGTTTTTGCATACCCCACATAACATTTTGGCAAATACAAAATTTAATTAGAAAAAAAGAGGAAGGAAAATGGTCAACAGCTAGGAGGGGACCGTTACAGGACAGACAGACACTGGTCGGTGCTTTCAGTTAGGTCACGCATTCCTGAGAACAACTCTGGAAGTTGGCCTTTCATCCGCCACAAGGCAAGACTTCACATCAGGTGGACAGAAAACCAGCTCTTCGCGTGGTACACTGTCGACCCTCCTGCTTCTGGAGTCCCTCTGATCACACCCCGGGTCCCCTTATTTCTTCTCACCACCTCTTCTTCCCAACAGCTTGAAGATACCCACCTCTCAGCCCTGTTTTGAGGACCGAGTCTTGAAGGAAGTCTGAGGCACCAGGGGAGCAGTCTTTAAATAGAAGCTGCTATTACGATGACACCTCTGGGAAGCACTTCCTGTATGAGGCCAAACTCATTCAACATGTGTTGATTTCTGCTTAGCTCATGGAGATGGTCCCTCTTTGGATTTAGTCCATTCTGATGCCAGCCTTACTCCTGAGCAAGTAATAACCACAGTCAAATCTTTATATAAATAGAAATAAATCCGGGAAGTAGGTGAATAGCCTCTTTCTTGGATGACTAAATTGAAAGCTTGGGACAAGAGTCACCACATTCACCCTATACCGAAGGTCAGAAAACAGCTATAAAGAGCCATTTTGGATTGTGCAGGTCATGATGGGAACTACTCCCTTTCCCCCTCACTATCATGAGCAAGCGAACAAGGAAGGCCCTGTTGGAAGGGATGATTGCTAACCCCAAGGATCTGCCATTTTTACCTCTTTCAACAGCAGCTTAGGGGTGTGCAAAGACCAGTGAATGATTTATATCCTAATTCAAATGCAGAGATGAGTTAAATTGATATGAATGAGAAGTCCTTGATACTGTGATCAAATAGTAGACAGGAAATCAAGCGGCCATAGAGTCTGAACACTTGCCACTCATGCATCTGAAATGGAACCTTCGGAAAGGTAAGTTTGGTTTGTTCCTTTGGCGAGGTCTCACTATGTGGCTCACACCTGCCTTGAACACACTCCTCCTCCCCTAGCCTCCAAAGCGCTGGGGTTGCAGCCATGCACGCCACTCCTTAAGGGTTTCTCCTACCTTGTTGCGTGTGTCCTGTGAAGGCAGGAGCTCTGTGACACCGTCCAGTTTCTACAGAGACTCAGCCTGATCTCCCCGGAGTTTCTGCATCTGCTGGCGGCCTAGAGTGAGACTTGGTGACACATACAGGCACTGCCATCTCTCTGGAATAGCGTGCAGTGGCCTCTGCCCACTCTGGAGACCTCAGCAGTATCGTGTCTTGCTTCTGACCACCTTAATTTCTCCCTTTCTACCACCGTGCTTCTCCTAGAAACAAGTCAGGGAGCATGGTGTACATGGAAACCCTGTGTGTTCATCCACACACCCTTCCCTTGGGCGAAGGAACTCAAATGATTTTTTCACTACTCGGAAATGGCCAGGAAAATTTATTTTAATCATTCCATAAATTATAATAGGACATAATTATTTCTCTGTTATCTGGATGCTAATCCTTTTAAAGGAGCAAATAGTCAGGTCCCATCTACTCAGAAAACATCCATCTGCACTTAATTTGTTTTTTAGAGTCACGGACTCTTTAGACTCATGACCTGGAATGCTGGAGTAATCAGCAAATATATTCAGAATTAATTTAGTGTCTTAATTGCTAGTACAGAAATGGGTACTTTCCTATGGCTGAAAAAGTATACATGTTGGAATTTTGAAGAAACAATATTTCAACTGGAGCTGGAAGAATTGCTTCTGGGAGCTGGGGGAGCTGTGGAGATGGCCCAGTCAGATAGCAAGTGCTAACTCTGCAACCATGAGGACCAAGCGTGAAACCCCCAACCCACGTAAAAGCCAGACGCAGCAGCATTCCTGTCATCCCAGAGACCGGGAGGTCGGAACAGGAGGATCCCTGGGGCTTGCTGACCAGCCAGTCTGGATGAGTCACAGGGCTCGAGGTTCAGCAAGAGACCTTATCTCAGAAAAGAAGGTGGAGAGCCATTGAGAAAGACACCTGATAGCCATCTCCAGCCTCCCCATCCACGTACGTACATACGCACAGGCACACACAGGAACACGTACGCACAGACAAATATAACTTCACACAAGCTGCAACTCATAAAAGTTTAGTAGGGAGCAGGGGATGAACCCGAGTGTAGGGAAATGGAGGCATAAGATAGATAGTTCTACGTGCAGGAAAGCAATGGCCCGTGTCTCTCTATGATACTCTTAACGACTAGCCTGCCGATAAGCAGTCAGCTCTGTGAATATTTGTTGGGTGAATGCATGCATGCACATAGGCAGGGAGGAGAGGGGAAGATGGGGAAAACCTCAGGGTCAGGGGGCTAATGCTCAGCAGAGAAACAGAATTGACTCCCAGACAAGCCAAGAGAAGAGGCCTCAATGAAAGGATGCTTTACACAGGTTAGATGAGGCTAAGGGGAGAACACAAGCACTGGCCTGCTTTTAGCACCCAGGCATCAGCCATATGGGACTGGTACCAGCTCCCAGTTTGGAGGGGCAGGAGTGCTTACAGAGCAGTTAATACTGGACTGGTGATCTGAGCCCATTACTTGTGCCCAACTAGAAGCCGGTGACCACGAGAGCAAGGCAGAGAACTTTAGCGAGTGACTCAGCCAGGGCTGCATCTGGGCGTGGAGACAGTCATCATAGTTCAGAGGCTGAGCAGGAATGGAGGGCTGGATTCAAAATAAACCGTATCTTCCTATCCCTGTGCCTTCATTCATTCCTTTCTCCCCAAAGACATCCAAGGCCCGTTTACCTCAGGTCAATTGGATTCATAAGCTACTAGCTATTGAAGAGGTTAGGTGGAAAGGAAGGAAAATATACAGCTCCGGGAAGCATTATCCATGTTTTAAATTCCAACCCTGTCATTCCTTATCACTAAGCTGGGTCCGTCACTTCGAATTTCTACACCTCAACTTCCTTATCTGTAAAATTGAGGGAAGTATAGTTGCTACCTCACAGCTTTGTTATGATCACCTGAGATAATCTATATAAATTTCTCTGGTCTGACAGAATGGCTATAAAGAAATTGTCTTGGACAATTGGCTTCAGAACATCTGTCCTTCAGAAGCGACATCAAAGTATAAAGGGGAGGGAGGTGGAATGGAACACGGGAGGGAAGAGTTTAGAGGGATGGGGGAGAAGAGGAAGGAGGAGAGTCAACACGAGCAAAATCTGTTTGGAAATGCCACAATGAAACCTAATGTGTATGCTATTTAAAATGTACTTCAATTTAAAAAAAAATCCTCAGGCTGGAGGGATGGCTTGGAGGTTAAATTCAGTGGCTGCTGTTCCAGTAGACTTAGGTTTGATTCTCAACACCTATATGAAGGCTCACAACTGCCTGTAAGTCCAGTTGCAGGGGATCCAGTGTCGCCATCTGACCTCTTTGGGCACCAGGCCTGTATGTGGTACCCAGACTTAGATGCAGTCAATATACCCATACACATAAGATAATAATACATAATGATAAATAACAGTAACAACAACAATAATAACAAAGGTGTCCTATGGGTTGAAGGATTTGTTCTCAAGTCTGTTAGAGCAAGGTCCTTGTGACTTTGACTATTATAAGGAAGGCTATGGTTTCTGGTGACTCCCAGGATCATGCACTGGAACTTACTTTCGTGTCTGCAGGCCAAGAAGTTCTCTTCCTTAGGCATTGGCTTTTCCTACTGTTGATGACGGTGGGATGTCACAGAGGCTTTGGGGCACTCCAGTGAACCCCACCTACCTGCCATCTCAACACACAGCTA